CTTCGTCATTCCTTCATACACAAATCTTATCCAAGTCGGGTTCACTGAGTTTTTGAGAAAGAAGCCCCGAAACAGTGGTCTCCCCAAATCAATCTCCACGCGCATGCAGATTGCTCGTCCCCATGAGGGTTTGCCCGGGGAGGTTGAGTTTGGGGAGTTGAGAACTCTTCCGACTGCACTGGCAAGGAACTTGCAGTTCTTCTCCGGAATATGGCTGCGAGGTACATTGATGAGTTGAACCCATAGGTTTTGGTGCCATAGTTTGATTCTCTCTCCAGCTGATCCTTCACGCCATTTCGCTAACAACATCCAGCTTGAACGAATAAACCAGGGGCTACCGTTCAGAACTCGCTGCATGTCTTCCTCACTGTCGAAGATGTAAACCCAACCTCCACTGTCGTCATAGTCAACTTCTACTCCTGACGTTAGGTTTCATGCATTCCTTACAAATGACTTTACGTTATCTTCGTCCACTTGGATTTGTGGGAAGATTCGTGTCAAGAGCTTCCGAAGCGGGTTCTATATTTATTTCGTAGACTGAGCCTGACAGGGTTGCATGTTGTGCCAGTTCCTTACCAAGCTCAGCGATATGCCTATCCATTAAAGTCATTGATGCTTCCGTCCTCTGGGTTTCTGCATGGCTTTGTGGTTCTGCCATTAAAACTGTGGGGGAAGGACAGACTGTTGGGGAATCTTAAAGAGCCTGTGGGTTTGAAACCTGATGCCTTTTCACAGCAACAACAGCAGCGTGCGAAGTTAGATCGATGTGAGCCTCATGAAAACAACTCTAATCCTACCCTTACCAAAGGCACACTTGCCACAACTAATAAAAATAAATTTCATAAAAGTCCCCGAATCCTATTTTATGGGCTGGGTGGACGCTTCAAAAGCTGGAGCAGATCAGTCATCCAGAAATGAACAGAAAACCAGGGATTGAAAGCTGACCCAAATCCCAAAGGACCCAAAAATCATAGGGATTTATCATACCTCTTTTAGGACTATGATGACCCTTCTACTCTTTTATTGAAACCTGTATCCCTTTCCTTTCCAAAAAGCCAACAGAAAGGTCTTCCAACAGAAACCCTCACAGGAACCTACGGGCAACTGAATTGGTCGATCACTCGATCCCACTCCCAGCGTCCAATGGTCAATGGAACAAATCTGGCTTCAATAATCCCAACAAGTACGGTAGAGAAGAATCTGAAACCCTCAACCTCAAGAGAACGGCCTTTTCAAAAAGAAATTGAACAAGAGATGATGATGTAGGTCAAAGAAGTGGGCAAGGCCAACCTGGAGGGTCCCCTGGCCCTGATATATAGATGGTTTAGACTGACTACTTTAAATATTAGATGATCCAAGATCAATTAGCCCAGCCCAACTGAAATTATGAAAAGAGTTTTGACCAATCAAAACCCATCCATGAATTTTGATAAATAACACCTTATTCGCTATCATATTTATGATTTCAATTTATTAGTCAGTTGTTTTTACGGATATCATATCTTTTTTATATCATAGTCCAATCCTATTCTAAAATGCAATTATCCACATTAGATGGTTCATATAATATTCCAACAACCCTTTTAGAATTTTTCTGTTGTTTTGAATTTTTTTAAAAACAAAAATAATTAAATATGAGACTATTTAAGCTTATCCACAACCGATTCAGTTAATAAACTGGACATTTTTTAACACCAGCCCATGCATCGCAAAGGTCTCTTCTATTATCCATTTATGAAGATCAAGGTTCAAAATACCATAACGTGTGAATATATCAATCGTACAATATACATTAGAATTTTAACCCACCGAAATGCCATTTAGAAGGATTTAGGGTTTTTTTTTCTGTTTAGCCCCTAAAAAAATGCTCTGGCTAGAGATGGAGGCCAAAACAATGAAAAAAAAAAAATTCGTTATGCTTAATCTATCTATTACTTGAAATTAATAAAATAAGCTTTAAAATGGTTCAACTCAGCATGGGAAAAATTATAAATATGGTTGCCTTTCGATTAGCCACATGCATCACAAGATAGATTATCCAGTATCGATATTGGAAAGGCCATTTTCATTTTAAAATAAGTATCAACAAAGATTGAGGAATACGTTAAGGAAACGCTCGGATACAAATCATACAATGAAATCATTAGAATACACTGGAAAACATATTTAAATCCCACAAATGCATTGACAAAACCAAGGCTCAAATACCATAAATGTTTTGTCTTGGCCTCACGTCAAGATAACTAAAAATTTTTCATTTTACTCATCTCTCCCCCATTCCACTTCTACTCTTCTCTCTTGCAAGTGCAAGTGCAAATGCACATGCTCTAATAAGGTGTAAAACACAAGGAACACATTTTAATAATTTATATGAAGATTGAATTAATGATATAATTCTAATAAATTTACCTGTGAAATGTTGGAAACTGTTGGAAGAATTGAGAATGAATGGATAGTAGAGGTGTCCATCATATGGTCCAGACCACCAGACTGGACCGAAACAAACTGAAATTGGTGGTTTTATCTGGTCTGATCTGGTCCTAAAAAAAACAGTCTGGTTTCTAATTTCACAAACCAAACCACCATAAACCAAATTATTAATAACGTATATTAATATATATTTAAAACATATATAATATAATTGTTATATAATTTGATATTTGAATTACATCTGTTATTTATACAAATTTGTATGTCGTTTAGGCTTTCTAATTGGGTTAAGCCCAGTAGAATGACCAAAACTGTATTAGAGACCAGACCAGGCCATAATAAAACGCTCGTCTAATCTGGTTTCTATATAAAACAGCTTGATGAGAGAAAAAAAAAAAAAAAAAATTCTGGTTTAATACTTCAGTCTAAGATTTTCCCCAAACCACACTGGACTAGACCGTAAACACCCATAATGGATATGCTCAAAAAACCAATATAAATCGCATTAATTTTGACGACCAATTAACGCTTTTTTCTTGTTCTACCAAAAAAAACATTTTTTTTCTTTTCTTTATTTTCCATTTTTTAGGATGATGTTTAAACTTTAAAAGGCTTGTATTAGACACTTAACAAAGTCTTCTTGGCTGAAATTTTTTAATAATAAATAAGATAATATTAATCAAAAATGTTTAACTTATTAACATAAAAATTAATTAGTATTATTTTGACTATTGTTTTCAATATAATGAGGTCTATGATTTGATCCCAATTAAATAATCAGTTCAAGACTGGTTCTAAGTGATTGTTTATTATTCATAATAGTATAGTTATAATTATTTTATTTTAAAAAATATAACCTAATTTATTATTGTATCTCTAAATAGGCATAAAAAATTGTATCTCCAAATGGCATTTTTAAATTTTGCCCCTGCAAAGGAGGGGCTTCCCCACTAGTTAATTTTGACGATCAATTAATGCTTTTTTCTTGTTCTACCAAAAAACATTTTTTTTCTTTTCTTTATTTTCCATTTTTAGGTTTATGTTTAAATTTTAAAAGGCTTGTATTAAACATTTAGCAAAGTCTTCTTGGCTGGAATTTACCCCATGAAGGTTCTTTTGGTTCCAAACCACATTGCTACATAGAAGACTCCTAAGCTGTTTAGACTTCTCTAGACAATTTAACTAGCACCTCTCTCTCCACATTTCACATGTCCTTGGCACACTTACAATATGCTTATTTAGTAATGCTCAGAGTGTGTCAGCCATATCCCAGCTCAGGAATTTTGGTGGGTATATACTAAATTGAGCTAACACTACTTTACTCAATATGCTTCCTTCCCTTAGAATAAGGTGCTAAATTTGTCCATGACCCAATAGTTGAGAATTGAGATGGTCACTAACAAGGAAACACAGGTGAACTACAAAGCTCTCTGCAGTCTGCAGTATGGCCAGGGCCACCTGTGCACCTTGCTCTGTCCCCACCCCTTAGTCCCCTCTAATGTATGTAATACCCAAAACAGGATAAGGTGCTAAATGCAAGATTAGAACGCAGTTGGATTCAAAGTTAAAACTATATAAGAACTCGTTGGAAATTTGGAATAAAAAGAATGTAAAACAAGGACTAAAAATTATATTACACCTCATCATTAAAAAAAAAAAAAAGCAAAAACAATATTAAAGGAGTAAATAGTGCAAAATTAAAATTAGTGACCAACAGATGTCAGACAAGATTGTGCAATTCTGGAATTTGGAAGTGCAAAAGCTTGATATTCATTACAAGTGTGGTGATCCAATGAGCTCGCTTTGAAATGCTCACTTTTTTTAAACCCCGGGCACCCTATAGCATATTTATCACTCATGGTCTCATGCCAAAAGATAGAAAATGTTCACAATTTCTTTCTCTGAAAATTCGAGCCAACAGATGAGAGACACTAGGTACTAGATACGAGCTCAATCATGTGACTACTACTATAGATAATTCTTTTACTGTATAAGATTACAACTGACCACGTTGGATTGAAGTAAACTGTAAACTCGGTAAATGACATGACCATTTTTTCCAAGCCATTAATAGTCACATCTATCAAGTAATCCACCTGCAAAAGACCGTCTTCAGTACGAATGCATGGGGCAGGGGAAAGCAGAGGCTATAATATAATATACAAAATTCATTATAGTTGACTAGTTGTCTTATTCCCACGCACTTTTTCTGCATGATTTTTCTATCTTTTATTATTCCTCATTTGACAGGGAAAGGGAGCTGATGGTTATCCTTTTATACGATTCATCAGATTCACATTCAGTTGGAGTTGGTCCACCAAGTCATCAATAAAACACTTTTTATATAATTGTGAGTGGGCTTCCTGTTGCATTATATACATTTGTTTGTTGTTAGAACTCCCATGAGTCTGGACTTCGGAGTCTGGACCACAGGCCTCAACACCAGCGCCCACGGCCATATATGTACTACACATGCTTTCTACTTTTCCTTTCTTAATTGTTTTATCTTTTAATGTCTCTTTCAGGTTATGATGAGTATTCTTTTAATATCACATTCCTCATGAATGAGATGACATGAGAGGCTCTGACACTGACATTGAGATCCACCTGAATCAGAGTACAGAAAAGAATGAGGAAAAAAAAGAAAAGAATCACTCCCCCATTCTAAATATCGGGAGTCAATCCTGGTACAATAAAAGCCGCTTGTCATTACTTGTCCCACGAAAGTGAAGCTGACAGAAAGATTAAAAAAGGACTTCTGGTACTTTCCCACAGACACAAGCAAAGGATCACGAATGACAGAAATCTCTATACATTTCTGACCACTTGCAGCCAAATAAATATGAAGTGAATTACACGTGATCCACCCATTTATGGTATTCTACCACAGTCCTTTTCTAGTGGGATGGATTCCCATGGAGAAGGAAAAGGGAGTTAAAAGAAAGTGAAAAAATACCGAGCTTTTAATTTTACCTGCACAAGGCTACTTTTTGTTGATTGATCAAAATTACCATATCCATTCTCCGTGGGACGATCAGGCGGTGGTCAGTTCTAGTTAAAAGCCCCGACCCTATGGATATAAGGACCCCCCCCCCCTTCTTCCCTCTGGAAGGAGGGGCAATTTGACCTGAAAATTAAGCCACCCCGTTTCCAGAAGACAACATGATCTGATCTGAAAATGGAGCCAATTACCATGATTTGTTTGGAGAAACAGATGGAGCAGCCGTTCAAACTTTACTCTTTTGGAAAATGATGGCCAACCCCAAGCTTCAAATTTTTCATAAGAATATACAAAGACCTATAATTATATCTTCTTCCCAAAAATGGCCTCTTGGTAAAAAGATCAGAGAGCCTCAGTTACTCAAGAGGAGCTGATCAAAAAACCCATTCTTGTCCTGCATCCTCTCTTCCATTCTTGTCACTTTCGTGTAAATTGGTGCCATCGTGCAAATGAGAAGAAAGAGACCACAAGTGCATGCAGGAATGGTGATCAATGATGAAAGGGGAAAGAATCAATTAATTAATGATCAAAGTGAAAGACATTGTACCCCCTCCGGAAGATTTCTAGGCATTGGATGAGCAGTAACATATCTTTGGGGGAAAGTTTTCTGTGCAGTTGATGCTGCATCAGAGGATGATGAGGTCTCTGCCCCATCGGCATGGCTCCGGCCATGGAACTTGGCAAAACGGTTGATGACAGAAAACCTCTCCATATCCTGGCAGTCCACTCTTAGATCTAAGATTGATGCTCTCTTGTCCAATCTGCATAATCACAAGAATTAAAATAATAAATAGGAGAAAAAGGAACCTGAAGGAATTCAAGAGAACCAACTTCACTTCCATGAATACTTGTTTAACCAATGCCTGATGCCTGATGAAAAATAAAAAATCTACTAAGGTTTAGCTTTAGGTTTCAGCCTTCTACAAAGCTTCTGCAGAATAAAAGTTAGAAACTTGAAATGTTGCTCCTACTCGTAACTGAAACTAATGACAGAGACCACCATAAACGGATAAATTCAATTCAAAGTATTATTGCTTTGGAGGACATGCATAGGGTGAATACACACACAATGTCAATAAGAATTAAAGTTTCATAAGAAATGCAGTTGACATCCAGTCTCAGTAGGCAGACTTCTACTTAATGAAGTTTATTGAACTCGACCGGAAGAGTCCAAGAATATCAATAAGCCAGCACATCATTTTTTGACCTTTATATAGACCTCTAAGAAATCCTAAAGTTCTCTTGAAAAAAAGGTTCTCCAAGCCTGATTTAACAAGTAATTATGAAGTCCAAAAGCAACTAACTTCACTAAAAAATCTAATAATTTTTTCATTCTGATTAGTTAAAGAAAACACAAAAGAAATTCACAAGGGAATGCATTTCTTAGCACACATTATATGTTCTAATATCCTCAAAACCAACCAAAGGTACAGGTCTAAAGGATCAAGAAGGTAATCCCCAATTGACAGTTTGTCAATTAATTCCACAGAGATAGATTGCCCAACCATTAGGCTTTAAAAGCTACAGAAACTGTTGAACTAAAAATGGGGCTGCAAATTCAGCACCTACTTAGATGAGAAATTTGAGGCTTTAAAAGCTACAGAATCTACTTTCATACGAAGATTGCATCCTCAATGGAGCAAGTGATCCAAGCTATAAAGTACCACCTAGTAAAATTATTACGATTCTAAACATACAGAATTGACAGGTCAATGAACCATAGCAAAACTCTCAACTTTCAAGCACGAGAAGGGATTACATGGCTAACCAACATCAACAATATGCAATCCCCAGAACTGACCTATTTTAAACCGTCTCATAATGGTATGTATGAGCAACCTTAGAACTAAATTTTCTCTGTCTGAAAAATATAAATGGCATAGACTACAGCCTTTTTCCAGGTAGAAGCATGTTGTCGGGATTAAATTTGCCGATTTCTGGTGTTGTGAACAATAAAGGGACCTTTATGGCTACCACATCAGGTCTGCATGTAAGAATTAAGATTTAAGACCATGACCATCCAATCTCTTTGGCATGGGCCATCCAGAAAATTTGCTCCTAGTATAGATAAGAACAAACTCCCATAAGACAATCTTACATAACACTTTTTCTCTTTATGGCATGATATATATTTCCATTTGCATCATGTTCAAATGCTACAAATGTTAGCATTTATGAGAACACCTTCTGTAGATAAACATTTAAAGGCAGATTCATATCTTAATTCATTGGCCATCTGTTAACTTCTTATCAAGTTGGCAATTCAATGATGCTAGTTTATTTATCAACCAAAAGAAAATGTTTCAGTTTATTCACTTGCAAATTTATCAATATGCATATGAAGCTTAAGACAAAATCTAGAGAGTGCATCCAGTGGTGTACAAGTATAAATGTATAATACTAAAAAAACTTAAAGAAGATGAATTGCAGTGTCACAGAAAATCATAAACAACAGCAATAACATCAAAACCGAAAAAGACTAGGAACAAAGAATATGGGACATAATGTGAACTAAAAATATGAAAATATAAGTGGATTATGGCATCATTAATAAGTTCCTTGAGGCACATTTGACATTCTGACCTAAAGAGTAACAAAACTGTTCCAGAAAGAAAAATAAGCATCCATAAATGCATACTCTGGAACTTGAGTTTTACCTAAATAAGTCATTCTCTAGTTTCCTTGCTCTGCCGATGAAGCCCTCCACAGCTTTAGAAAAATACTGATCACCAATTCGCTCAGAATTCTTTACCTTTTCAGATATCCTGGATAAAAAGGGAAAAGAGAAACTATATTCAGATGTAACTGCTTCTTCAACAAAAACCCACAACACATACAAGGAATGGATTTGCCAACTGGGAAGTGAGCTTTCCTGAATGACCAAGGAGTCTTACACATGACAAATTAGTTTGGAGCTCAAAAGGAATCTTCAACTACCCTCCCCACCGAAACAACTTGCCATTTGTGCAAAATAAGCCCTACTTCACCTGACTAGTGAACCTTTTTTCCATATAGGGAACAGCTTTGCTAATAAAGTTGTTTCTTTTATTGTTAACAGTTGATTTTTTAATATGAATAAAAGAATAACATGAAAAATAGAATGCTTATGCCCCTTTTGTTACACTAGCCTTGGCTACTCAACCCCAATTTCTTTGCTAATCAGGTTGTTTAGTGAGCTTCCTTGAAAAACCAAGGAACCTTACATGTGACAAATTATTACGGATCTCAAAAGTCTCTGACTACTTGTGCCAACAACCCCACCCTATAATCATGTTGGACGATATGGACAGTGGGATTGAAATATGTAGCCCAGATTGTCCCCATTCTGATGAATGGCTGGACATGGCAGAAAGAGCAGGTATATTCACATCCTTATTGTTAATTATGAAGCTGCAGAAGTAGTTCTTACGTATTCGCCTTGTCAGGGGGTGAACGTGAATCACTGCCTGAGGAAGAGATCAGGCTGCAAGCATCCCCTAGTGCCAACCTAGCAACATAGTATGTCACACTTTCATAGTTCAGAGTTACATCTGCAGAGAGAAGTGCTGCTGGTGCAGGGCGAAGAAGTTGTTGCAATAACTGTGTTGTCAATATAAGCCTTCTCCTTGGCCGAACCATTGGTTGTCCATCTTCAATCATTTCAGCTTCATCTTCCACCTACCATCAGGCATGCATCCATTGAAAACCATGCCAGATCTTGCAGATATTGAGGAGATATATTAAAAATAACTTAACTTACAGCCATTCAATTATGAACACACCTTTTCAATCAGCCGATTTGCAGCTTGTGCCCAGTCTAGTTCACATATGCTGTAAATAATGAAATAACTTGTACATTAAGAAACAGATATCGAAGGAATCAACCTCCTTAACAGGCCTTTATAAATAAGGTTAGAAATAAGATGATAAAGCACAATTAAAAAAAAAACAAAAAAAAACTACTGAAATAAATTTCTAATTATTATAACCACCTGGTATTTTGAAGTCTATGGGAACCTTGGGTAACTTCTTTTTGCCACGATTGGAGCTCCAATGTTACACTCTTACGCTTCTTTGGTCTCACAACAGCCAAACTTTGGTCACTGGCATCTGGAAGCACTATTTGAGGAGACAAGTGCTTGCTTGCAACCAAGGTGGTGGTTGTACTTTGCCAAATGCTACCAACCTGACTGGAATCAACCATACTCACTTGCTCTGTTGAAGCATGTGTAGGCAAACTCTCAGAAGGCTTTCCAAAAAAGAACTGCTGTGCAGCAGTCTTTGCAGTTTTCCATGCATCATACATTGGCAGCATCTGACCATTTTTGAAGGTTCCATATTGATCAAACCAGGAGGGTGCCATCTGTGGGCTAATCTGGGAATGTTCCCGTTTAGTAGATGCTATATTGAGATTATTAGAATGACTTTGGGAATCATTTCTACCAAATGTGACAATATCATGAGAAGATGCAGACTGGGAAGATGTATTGTTATTCTGATCATCTCTTGCCTCTGATGAAAAACTAAGCATTTTAGTATCTCCTGAAAAAGAGTTACGCCGAGCTGCTGAGTTCAGTTCATTGTCTACAGGATCCCTGAACACTGGATTGTATCCATATAATAATTGCTGCCCTGACTTAGAAGCTGCCTGTTGAGCATCCGCACCATAATCTGCTCCTTTCAATCTCTTCACAACCCTCATACTCGGGTCTGTCTCCACACCTTTCATGGCTTGCATTTGGTGCAGTAAGGAGTAGTTTTGATGCAGCATATGAGAGGCTTTCAGAGAACGACCAAAGGCTTCAATATCTTTGTTCAAAGCAGCAGGGTTCTGAAGGGGCGCATTGTCTGCCTGGGAAACCAAAACTGGATCTTTCCCATTCCTTCCTCTATCAACTTCTTGCTGATGTGGATGAGAGAACAATGACCCAGAAGCAAGAGACTTTGCATCTGAGAGTTGCTTAGCTTTGGACTCTGGCCCTTGAGACACAGGTGCTGTCTGTTGAGCCAGCCCAACCTTATCAGAGGTTATTTGCTTCCAGGGACTTTCTTTCCTTGGTTGATCTTCCACATGAGAAAAGCGTTGAGAAGTACTAGAACATGTACCAAATTCAGAAGAGCTATATCCTCCTCTCTTAGTATCTTGTTGACCTGGCTTTTGTGAAGTCCATGAAGATGTCTCCAGATTACTATTTGATGGATTGGACTGGAACACGTTAGGAGAAACCTTGTGAGATTGGCCACCTGATGAACGTTGATTCCATGCATTATGCAACATTGTTGAAAAGGACCCCTGCTGAGACATGTTTGATGTAATAGAAGGCTGAGAGACAGGCAGAGCCTCTGGAAATGGAACCTGTTGGCCTGAAACTCTTAGAGGCTGGGATGTATCTGCAGGAGGGGCAAGGTTGAAAGGTGACACCCTGCTAACTGCACCAGAACCTGATGATCGAGCAGATAGATCAGATACCATGCCATCATGAGAAGCATCTGCCTGTGTAAAATGGGAAGCAAGTCTATCAAAAGAGACATTAACAGACTGATCTTTGACTGCTTGCCCACTTGCACCAGACATCTGCTGATTCTGAAGATTTCTCGGATACGGCAAAGATGTAAAAGCTTTAGAGAAATTTTCTTGCATGTTCAAATGGGAGGTTTCATTGCTAGGTTGTCCTGAAACACTAGATTGGTTGTCCCAGTTTTCCCTCTGATTTATTTCATGAGAAAGAGGCAAAGACTGCACCGCAGTAGTTGGAGCCAACCGTGCCTGACCCTTCTCTCCCATCTCTGAATCAGCATGCTTTGAATTGAAATCATTAACTGTTTGTGAGGAATTCTGAGGGGAGAAAGCATGGTTTGCTACAGGCAGCCTTTGAGAAGGTGGGGCCAACCGCAAGCCAAATCCTTGAGAAGTAGAAGATTGATTGGACCGAAGATGAGAAATAGATTTGTCAGAAGCTTCTGCTTTAGGCATCTCAGCTGAGGGACTGCAGTCAGAAGAGTTTAAGGGCATCATGGCATTATGCTCCCTTGATTGGTCCACCTTATGGAGAAGCTCAAGCATATTTTGACTGCAATTGTCAAAATCATTTAAAAGTTAACAAAGTTGTCATATGCAATAATTGCAAGATGGTAAGATAAAATGCATCAGAGAGAAAAAGATAGAAAAATGACAGAAAAGTTGTTAAACATACAAAATAATAACCAAATCAGTAAATATAAATCTAAAGCCATTCATAAATTGTAGAAAAATAGACTGCCAAGGTCAGCATAGTTGAAACTTAGTCAGCTTAGAAGTTACACATAAATACCTCCAATGAAAGCTCTGACAACAGTTATTATGCCCAATTACTATGAGTAAGTTACTAAAGTTCAACAAAGGAGACTAATCTCAGGTCCTTATTTACCTTGTCTGAGCATTCCTGTTTGGAGCATAAAAAACAGTTGATCTGTCGAAGGAAGAAGATGCATTAGCCGCATAGCCAGGAAGAATTCCTCTAGAAGGTACATCATCTGGCCTTTTTATGTTTCCTTGAAAATCAGGTAACTGCCCCTGCAAACAGAAGACCATTTAGATTTGCTAGCCAAATCAGAAAATTTAAGAAAAGATGGTTACCAGTTACCAGAGTTATCCTAATTTTGAAAGTCCAACCTTTTCAGTATCAATGGCATTGTTAGGAATGTGACTAGCAAACTTTGACTGCCCAAAATATCCTTGTTCATGGCTTTTTAGTCCTCGAGTTACTTGCTGGGACAGGACTTGTGAATGTGTGACATTTTTCATGCTGTCAGCAGGTTCCATATTAATCCCCAAATTTCCCATTGGATGATACTGAAACCTGCGAAGACTAGGTGCTTTTCGACCAGCTGGACCTGATAACTTTTGGTTCACTCCAGCTGAAGAATGAGAATCACTTGAACTTAACCACACATTCTCTCTGACAGAACCTCCTGCAACAGGATGTTGGGATTGGCTAGAATTATTAGAAATCTCTTTCTGGTGGCAATTCTCTCGATTCTTTTCATATGATTCACCTGACACCCTGTCAGAGTTATTCATCAATGGTTCTGAAACACAAGGAATCTTGTTAAGTGATTGCTGGTAGTTTCCACCAGTTTCATTTCCTTTATATCTTGGAGAAGAATTAATGGTGGGCTTCCCATAATCAAACTGATGACTATTTAGGACATGTTGATCAACCTCCCGATTGCTTTTTCCAATGGTTGAATTTGGTATAGCAGTAAAATTGTTTGTATGAGAATCTCCTTGGTTGACCTGTTGAATACATGCTCCAGATTTTGACTGCTCTGGTCCACCAGTCAAATTAGGAAAGGAAATTGCCACAGGATTTCCATCAGCCTTCCAAATATCACCACTAGTATCTCTTTCAGACTGCATGGCTTTCTTACTGTCATTGCCCTGATAATTTTGTGCAATATTTTCGTTCTCACGAATTTTTAATGTAGTATCCCTACTGGTTGATAAGGATTCGTTTATATTCCATCCATTTGACTTGTTAAATGGATGGCCACCAATGTTATATGATGATATGCTCTGTTGATGGCTCCAAGAATCCTGCATGGTCTGACCATTTAATTCTGCACCTGCAGAATGTGCAGCACTCTCAGACTGACTGTAAAGATGACCAGCCCAAGCACCACCTGAAGAATTTTCCAAATGCATAAGCGGTTGAATTTGCTGACTACCTTCAGCAAGTGATCTTTGATGAGGACTTCGATCTAACCACTTGCTACCTTCTTTAGGAGACTGCTGAATTGATTCACGAGAAGAATCAAGTCGCATCCTTTCAGTCTGTTCAAAAGGAAATTTGATGCTTGATTGCTGAAAAACAGAAATATTACGACTACTAGGACTCACATTGGCATCATCAAACAACGGGAAAGGTCTTGAAGTTAAAGAAGATGCAGCCTGCAAGTTGTTATCAACCCAACTCTGCTGCTTCTCACTGTTATTAAATGCTCCTGGCTGATTTCCAGCTGACAGTTCAGTCTTTTGAAAATTCAGGCCACTCCATTCATCTTGCATCCCTGTGTCACCACTAGAAGTTTCTGCTACAGCGGACTGCATAAGGGCACTCCAGCTTCCGCTTTGAATGGAAGGAAAAACATTGACACAATTTGAACCTTCCATTGGACTCCCAAAGCCTACTGTGACCCTGCCAAAAGAACCATCACAAATATTGTCATCTGTACTGAACAAAATCTTCTCTTCTGTGGGATCTAAAGCAACAAAACCCTGAGAAGGGCCAGCTTGTGTTGTTGCTTTTTCCTGCAAGTTTCCTGAACAACCAGCTTGCTCCTGTCTCCCTTGGAATTCCTGCACTGGTGCAACCCTTGGCAGGGAATGCAACTGTTGGAAATTACCTGATACACCTTCACTACTCCCATGAATAGGAAAGTTCCCAAACAAATTCTTCCCTTGGAATCCCTGTTTTGAAACTCTAATGCCATCCTGCATGGAACCCTGGCCTGTAAATAAATCGCCCTGAAAGGAGCTACTAAAGGTTGATGTCTGCACTCCAGTCTTCTCTACTTGGTTACCACCTGCCTTGGTCAAAATATCAGCTGAATCATGAGAAATCCCTTGGAGATTAGAATACTGACTAAAATTTCCTCTTGAGCTAGCAATGGGAGTTCCATACAGAGACTGGTCAAGCTGTTGAGGAATGAACCCCATTGAACGCAGCCCCTGACCTTGCTCATTTGTGAACATGAGCCCATTAGAAAACCCTTGCAGAGGAGGTCCTGTGCGCTGCACAATGTTCATAGTACCAGCCATAAACATTTGAGAAGTACTTGGTGCTACTTTGGTTTCACCCCCAGTAAGTTCATTCGTCCACAAATAGTTGGATGGATCATGAATTTGAGTTCCATTGACCATAGTTGGTAGCTGATCAGCAGAAGTCTGTTTTGCAGAGAGATGATTCATCGAATTTTGTTGTCTTGCTTCATTAAGTTGCTGCTGCCTTTGAAGTTCTTGTAGTTGCTTCAACATGATCTGCTGTTGCCATAACTGCATGTCATTAAAACCAGGCTGCTGCCTCGGTTGAGGTTGCGGCATGCCTGGTTGTTGTCCCCTCATGAGCTGCAGTTGACCACCAAGCAAGTCAAAATTAATAGGAGCTTTAGCAGTTCCTGCCCTTTCTGAAATTCTGGTTATAGCAGAACTTTGTGCAGGAGCATTACTTTCTTGTGATTCAAGGAGAGAGACACCTCTTGATGCTAAACCATGCCAACCTGAGACAGTATCCTCTCCTTGAAACTGTTCCTGATTCTGCCTTGTATGGAAACCCTGATTTCCATGCATAACGCCATTCAGACTCAGCTGCTGGCTTCTAGATTGGGCTTTGGCAAAATCATGCCTGAGAGTTAATTGTGTAAGATTTGTGCCAAGTGGCACATGCAAAGACTGACTGTTGTTTCCACTCTCAGGATCTGCAAACACCAAAGCAACAAAAATAATAAAAATTGTGGACCAGGAAACATGTGAATTTCCACATAGGTGTTGCAAACTTATTTAGATATATTTTTCCTTTGTTGGAGTTAGAAAATGAACAAATGAAAAACAAAACAAAGAGGACCAGAATAGTCTAATGAAGACAACTAAATCATTAACTGTAAAAAAAAAAAAAAGAAAAGGAAAAGAAAAAATATGTGATGGAGAATCCAACCAAGCAAGAGATACCATCCACTAACATGATCAAAAGCATTGGTACCTGACTGTTGTATGTTGTAGTTCTTTGAATTGGAACTTGGAGGTGACCCTATCTGCCTTTGATGTCCAGCCCAGAGGTTGTTATTCAGAACCGTCCAATTCCCACCTCCAACCTGGAATTGCTGCTGCCCCTGTGACAAATTGTCTTGCTCAAAGAAATTATGTACCTTGTCTCTGGCTTCATTTCCGGGCATAGATAATCCAGATTACAAACTTCCAGCAGTCAATATTTGTCTCAGGTAAAAACCTACCTTAGAAGGTAGATAATGTGAAGCTCAAAACCTTTTTGTTCTTATAAGTCTAGCAAAGAGCAAATATCCAGGCAGTCAGACCACAGTAGTACCTAATTTATGTGGCTTAGTACTTCTTTGTACATATCAATGGGACTGCAAATGCTGTGCTCCGGACCCTCAAAACCTCATCCTGAATAACATAGGGGCAGATAATTAATGTCAAACAAATACTACATGCCAACTAGCATATTCCATGAAAAGTCGTATCGAGACAAATTGGTAAATTGTGAGACAATTGCAATTATCATATATCATATTATTCTAAGCACTTTCTTGAAATCTGGTGACTCAACTTCCTGAAGAAAAAAAAAGGATTGATGGTATTTTCGTAACAATGGTGATGCATTTTAGAAGTTATCCAAATATCCAATAATTTTGCATATCTTTAATATTTTACAAGTATGAATCCGTTTTACAACAAGATTTATATGCAACTAAGAAAATTGGTTAAAGGTCAAGTTTAAGGTCACCGTGTCATGACAAATTTTCTTCTATGCAACTTACAGAATTCTGTAGGTGCAGAAGATGTGTGCCAACTCCCAATACTAATAATAGGACGATTAAGTATAGAACTCAACCTACCATTGAGGGTTGTGTGCACATGTTTTTTCTTCATGAAGCAATCTCCCATCAAAAGATCAAAGAACAATCCTGCATGTAATGGGAAGAAAACCTCTCAACAAAAGATAGGAGTTGCTTTCATATTAAATTACCAAATCCAATATGTATTTGTAAAAAGGGAAAGGGAAAGAGGAGTAGGGGGAAAAAAAAGAAAAAGAAACATAGAAACCATGTCCCCACCATGGTTGTTAAGGGGTCAACTAGGTGACTGGGCAGCTAAGCACCCTTTTTTGGAGGGGGATGAGTTCTCTTAAAAAGGTGCCTGTCTGTGTAACAAAGTAACTGCCTAGATGACAAAAATTACAAGACAGGAACCTTATTTTAACTATATTACTATGGGGTGCACATTATATTTTTTTTATCAGATGGGGTGCACATTATTAGCATGTCCTTTGACGCATTTTATCATGTATTTATAATGTATGATTTTATTTTATGGTTCTACTGTTGAAAACCATAAATGCCAAAGGTTAGGTCTGTATCCAGCCCACCCTCCCAAGGCCCCAGGTAGCTGGGACCAATATTAGGTAATGGCCTTTTATTGAGAGAGAGAGAGAGAGAGCAAAACAAAATTTGAGGAGAGAGAATAAAGAAGAAAAGGAAAAAGGAGTTCTTTTTATTTTTCTTACTTTTTCCTGCAAACTCTCTTTCTCTCTCCCACATTAAACAGATGAAAACACTGCAGTCTGCTCTGCTTTGTCTCATGTTTTTCTTACATGGTTCTTAATTTTTTTCTATTAAAAAGTTATAGCCCTCTTTAGTTGCTAATAGTTTTTTTTACATGCAATTCTTCTATAAATACTTAACATAGCACTTTTTGTATGGTGAAGGTGGGATATGACCCCAACTCAATGGGAATTACATCAACAGACTTTACCAGCTAAGCTAGTTGGCACCCATTATATTGCAATGTTGCGTTTGAAATATCAAAATTAATATACTTAAAATGCTATTGTCTTTGGGTATGATGGTTTATCATTTTTATATGAAATTCATTGTTATTAACAAAGAAATTGATATTTTTTCAATTTGTTTGTTGGTCGGTATACAAAAATAGGAAATAACTTAGAATTTGGGTTTTCTCTTTGTCAAATTCCATTGCCTAGGCAATTAGATGCTTTGATGTTATCTTGAATTACTAACTATGATCCCCACCTCCCTCTCATGCCCCATTTATCAAAGTGGCAGCTACTAAAACCTAGATATCTAAAAAGAGTTCAATTTCTCAAGCCTCAAATCATCATAACTAACAGTTACAAGAATGGACCATAAAGCCAGAAAAAATGTCATGATTAAACAATGAAAATGGGTAAAAGACATAAACACGTCTCTGCAACAATGAAGTGCTTTTTCAGAAGCACACAGAAACATATGAGAGAATAGAAACATCTGACCCATGCAAGGAAAGCACAAAGTATGAATTTTAGGAAGTAGGATTCTATCTTGGCATAGTAGAGACACATCTTCAAGTTGGAATATCAACCTTGATGCAATTTATCAATATATATGTATCAACCTTGATGTAGGAAAACTGGAAGATGCTTTATTGACAAAGTTGAAAGCTCCATTATCATAACAGAACTTTGGATTATGGACCTGAGCCTTTGCTTGTTTCTGCAGTTTCTGGTTTTTATAGTGAGCATGTTAAGCGTTTCCATACGTACATACTGACTAACGAAATTATGTAACAGTACATTAATTTCCTATAGTTGAACGAAACGATTAAGGCATGAGACATTCGTACAGAGAAATGATTTGAAAGCTCCATTATCATAACAGAACTTTGGATTATGGACCTGAGCCTTGCTTGTTTCTGCAGTTTCTGGTTTTTATAGTGAGCATGTTAAGCGTTTCCATACGTACATACTGACTAACGAAATTATGTAACAGTACATTAATTTCCTATAGTTGAACGAAACGATTAAGGCATGAGACATTCGTACAGAGAAATGATGATCTTAACAGGTAAAATAATCCCATAAAAATGGCGGCATCCACATAAACAGGAAAAAGTGAACTCTAAGCTACTCAAAGGTGTCTTAATTAATGTACAAAATTAACAAAAAAGTGTTTCATTGGTGAAATTCAGGCACAAAAACAATAATCAAGTACAGAGAATATTCTTTCTATCTATCTCTCGTCCAAGTAAGTTCATGTAAAAGCAAGAAAGCCATACACTTCCTGCATTTATAACTCCTAATACGGCCCAATTCCCACGACCCAAATACAGATTCCACTCACAAAGTAGCTAAAAATTAAAATAACCCCGAGAATGCTAAAAGGAACATCAGAAAACTAAAACCTTCAAGGAACATACTTAATTACTAAGCCCCTGCAGCTCCAAAACCAATTGCAGCGGGATCGAAGAGGACATACACAATTCAGACTCCAATTCGAGATTGAGACGAGAAAAGAGACAAAACAAGAAAACGAGCTGGAATATAGATCCCACCCAGCTCAGAAACCAAAATCTCAGGGAACGAAGGTCCTAGGTCTAGAAATGGTGATCTGACGGGGATAATTAGGGTTTCTGTGAGGTTAGATGCGTACTTACTTGGTTGTTGAAGGTCTTCTAATGGATCGAAGTTCAACCTCTGTAATTTTGTTCGATTATACTGTAGTTAGGGTTTCCGTCAATGAAGAAGAAATGGCCCTCCTCTTTTTCGAGCTCTGCGAGAACGGGGTTTTTCAGACCAGGGCAAAGATAAAGTGATCGAAATAGTGCGAAAAATTCAACGAACTGAGAAACAATACATAGGTTTGGATCGAGCCTTAGGTTCGTACGTCGAGGCTAACTGGTTTGGAATCCGAACCTCGGCGTATTATTTAAATAAAAAGAAAATAAATAAAATAAAAATAAAAAATGACCGAAGTGGGTGCTAATTCGGTTCAATATTTCAATTTTCCGCAATTTGGGTTTGAAACAAAGATTAAAAAAAATAAATAAATAACCTTCCTACTTTTAGGCTTCCCTCTTCCCGCCGCCCAGTTTGGCAAATAGTGTGGTGATTCGATGCAATTGAGGGACGAGAATAAAGAGACGACGGACGGATGAACGCTCGCTATAATAGAAGGGGAGCGGGGAGGACAAACAACAGAAGAATTAATTGAACAACTAATCTGTGCAACTCTCGGATTCTTCGCCCCACAGATATAACAGTAGGACCCACATGAGCCATGAATGGAAATAACTAATAAGCATTACGTGACGAAGGTGAACGTGTCTTTTCCATGGGCTCCTCTCAATTTCTCATCTCAGGCAGGAAAATTCAAAATAGCACTGGGCGTGACGATCGTTACATGTTTGAAGATATGATGGCAAACAGCAACATCATGCAACTCGTGGGGTCTTTAAATGCATCCCATGTTGCTGTTCGTGCAACGAGGGTTTTTTGTTAACGAAGAGCTTGTGCAACTCTTCGCTTTCTTGGAAGTAAGGTGGAACCCACGTAAAAAGCATGTGCAATTTTCACGTTTTTTGGTTTGTAGTGTGTATTTTCATGAACATTGTATTATTTGGGGGAAGAATCGAAGGATACAAAATATTTTCTTATAATTACTTGGCTTAGGCTCGACCTTGCAGGAGAGTGTCTTTCGTATGTATTGGAAGATGAAGTCTATTCAGGATGGTTGTATGGTTGTGATTACGTCGGAAAAATTGTCAGAGTCAGTCACTTTGGGAATGATTGAGTGAACCACGGTGTCAATTCAGGCAATCCCCTAAACTTGGCGTGGTATCTTTAAACAGCCTTCTACGTAGCTGGACATGCTTGGTTGTCGAACTTTAAATCTATCGTTGACTTGATTCACCATGAATTGGGAGTCGCGTAAAACCTTAACATGCCTCGCAATGTTCAATCTCTTATGAATTTAACATACATATGCAAAAAAGTTCTCAAAGTGTAGTTGAATGTTATGTAAGAAAATTTGTTGATTGCAAGAGATCCGGGCTCATTTATATCAAGCTACATTAATTGTATAATGTTTCATCAATGTAGTTGAATGAAATTGACTCGGACAATTTTCAAATGAATTAAAAAAAGAAAAAGAAAATGATGCTATGTTGCATTATAAGAGTTGCACAAATAGAAAAATTTAGAGGTGTAAATCGAGCCAGACCAGGGCTCGGCATGACAGTCTGTGGGTCGTGCCAGGCCCGGCACAATCGTGTGGGTCATGCTAGGCCTGTAGTTTTAGGTCTACGAGCCGGGTTAAGCCTACCCGACCCACAAACCTAATATAATAAACGGATTGCATTCGAATTGGATCAAGCAATATCCAAATTCAAATCTAATTAGAAAATACGATATTCGAATTCCATTCGATATCTAACGGACATTAAAAATTAATATTCAAATTTGAATCCGATTAAATATTTGAATATTCGATTTGATTCGAATTCGATTAATTAATTATTTTAGGTAATTAATAAATATTTTATTTATATAAAGTCTATAAATATATACATTATTTATATAATTTAATTATTCTATATAAAAATTATATAAGATATTTAAATATTTTATATATTATATATAAGAATTAAATAATCGATAAAATCCATTTATTTATCGAATCAAATCAGGTCATATATGAATTCGAATCCAATTAACTATTCGGTATGAATAGGATATCCGAATTCAACCGATTAGATATTCAAATTATTCGAATTCGATACGATTATAACGAATTTCGAATTTGAAATCGGATTTTCGAACACCGTTGACACTCCTAAATAAAATAAACAATTATTTTCAATTTTATTATACTAACTTATTTAATTATTGTATATATAAGCAATTGTATAATCAAAATTCATATAAAATTAAAATTTTAAGTTTTTTTCAGTTTTTTTAAATAAATAGCTTTGGCTTGGTCCACGTCCTGGCCTGGCCCAAGGCTTGGCCCATGGACCAACCCAGCCTACGGCACGGCACAGCACGGGCTCACGCAGGCTTAGACCGTGGGTCGTGCCGAGCCAATCCCCCAAGTTACCCTAGGGAAGGGCAGCACAGACCAAGACGGCCCACAAGCTGGCTTAGCACAGCCCACACCTTGAACAGCCTATTTTACATGATTACATCTCTAGAAAAATTGGACTAACTAATAACAAAACAATGTTAGGTGAATCTACATCTGCGCCCCACATCATATCCCAACCGTGTATTGAAAACATCTCCCACTGACAACTTCGGGAGATGCTCCCAGTGCATGCTGACATGTGCATGTGAGACGCCCTCAGTGGGGCGCAGATGTGATCTCATGTTAGACACATCATTATTTTGTGTCACTTATCATTAACACATGAAAAATGGGTTTGCACATGTTACTTCATTAAGCACATTTATTGATAATCCACTAGTAATAAAACAATGTTAGGGGATCTCTTGTTTTCACATTCTCTATTATTTATTCAGAATCATATATGAAAAAGAGTTCAATTATGATATGAGAAAGACATAATAGTAAAAAGAACTTACAATCAATCAATCAGTATCACAAAAAAGAGATGACCAATCAAGTATTATTCATCAAAATTCAAAAGGGGTGCTTTGATTGGACAACCTCTTTCAATACCACATATTGTTTTCTTGTAACCTAGATTTTCCCGTGGAAAAAGAATAAGATTTCTTTTAGATTTATATGTAGGAAGTGGAACACAAATAAATTAATGTTATTGCACAATGCAGTATTTAGAGGTGAGGAAATATTACACATTGAAAGTTACATTTTTGCACCTCCCTCTCTCTCAATCCGAATTACTATTATTTTAGGGTTTTTTTTTTCAAAAATTATTCAACTTTGCTAAATTTGTAGGGATAAGTAGACTGTATTCCCTCAGAAATCTGAAAATACAGCTACCTCTTAATCTACTAGTAGCCCCCCTATAAATCGTATCTTGCCCATGGATTTGGCATCAATCCACCCCTAGGGTGAAGTTAAGATTTCTAAGGGTGGACTGAACAGTTAAAACCCTAAATTTTTATAAAAGGTTTCATTGTATCCCGAAAAATGAATTTGCCTAAGTGAGGGCAAAATACATTTTAAATGCAATGTCTTTACATACTCTTTAAGGCTTCAATATCTCTTGCTAAAACCAATTTCCTAATAAATTTTGTAATGTGCCTATAAGAGATTCAAAGCACTGTTACATATTGTATTACATACCAATTTTCGAAATGGGCAATATGTGTAGTATCGATTTTCAGTGAAATAAATGGAAACTTGTTACTAATAGATTCAAGATTTATAAACCTATCATTTATTAGAATATTCTTCTACTTTCACTCTTTCTTTCTTACTTGATTGGCCTATGATTTATTGCTTTTACATTTAGGATTTTTTTTTTTTTTTGCATAATTTGTTTTCCCATTTGGGGGCTTGGTTTATTTTATTTGTGAAAAAAATGGTATAACTTGATTATAATTTCTAAGGTTGTTTATGAAACTTAGAGGAGGCATTAAGCCTTTTTTTTAGTTGTACTATTTTTCATTAAACTTAAAATACAAAGCCTTAATAAAGATTTTCCAATATACAGCTCCAACTACTTCAGTATCGTCGTCAATTCGTCATTGCTTTCTCCATTGTCAAGTTTCCGTCAATGTAATGACTACACTTTTCTGGTTGCTTGAAGCCATTGTCAATGACTTCATCCATCTTATTTTTTTTCACTCTCTTTCTCAACTACAGATAACTCCACTCCCCTGGTGCCAATTTGGGGATTGGGTCCCACCTTACCACTGGCCATGTCATGTGATGTAATGGACTAATGGTCGTTAGATCAGTAATACAAATGAGGGAACTATTATTCAAGACAACTCAAGGTCGAGTTTGTTCCTACTTTCAATTAGGGCTACAATTTGGATGGGCTGAGGTTAAGCATTTGCTAAAAATTAAATAGGCCTAGCCTGAGAGAGGGTCCAAGCCTGATTCAATGCATGGTTTTGAAAACTGGATTGGACTGAAAAAAGACAAAAGAAAAAAAAAATGGTCATTAGGTAATCGATTCTGTTTCACCATAAAATTGCTTTTTAGTTAAAACCATTAATTTGGTCAGCGATTCGTCGACTTGGACAACAATTTTTGGCCTTTTTTTTTCAAGTCAGAACATGCTATCCACTTGAACCAGATGGTTTGACTATTCAACCCAGGAATGGGAGTAAATAGGTAAAAATGGTGACTAAATGGACATAAAATCATGCAAAGTGAGCTGGGCAACTTATCAAGAGTGAATATACCAGTGTTCTGTACACATAGGACCAACACCTTATGTATATAACAGGTTGCCCAACCCGCTGTGTATGATCTTGTCTCTATTTAATCCAAATTTGTAAGAATCATGTGCATTATTTTTGCTCTAACTAACAAAATGACAAATAAAATATGGTGAAATCAACAGTAATCTCCTCCATGTTTCTCAAGAGAATCACAAATCCCAGTCTTATAACCAATCAACCAGCATTATAAAAGTAGTAGCCAATTATGCATTCATGTGGGCTTTCATGGGTTTTTTATGCCAAGTCCTTTCGGTATAATGTCTTTTGAACATCATAGATTTTTCCATTTCTAGAAAGCATGTTTAAACAAATGGAAAAGAGGAGTTGTATTAGTGCACGTCTGTTTCGCAGAGCACCCTTTCGATTTAATGACATTGTAGGCATGACGACAATGGAAACAAAAATCCAATTTATGCTATATTGAATTTATTTACATTGATGATATGATCATGTTT